TTTGAGAATGATGATGGCAACAAATGTACAAATGTGCTCGACACGTTGGATGGATGGATTGTGATAAGAGCTGTACGAGCCCCAATAAAATGACTTTAAAAAGATTCACAGCTTTGGGGGCCCTCGGGGGCAGTTCTGCCCTGTCCCACAGGGACACTGAACTGGGATGAAGGCAGCTGCATGGGTGGCATTAGGGGTCCCTGGTGAAGCAGAGGATAAGCACCCCGCTGCTGACCGGAAGGTCGGCAGTTCGAATCCCCCAGCCACTGCACAGGAGAAAGCAGAGGCTGTGTGTGCCTGTAAGGACCCACATCCTTGGAGAGCTTGGTCAGGGGTCCGGTCAACTGCGTCCTAGAGGGTCCATCCCGGTGAGTGGGAGCCGCCCACAGCCGGAAGCGAGGGGCCCACTGGATCAGGAGCTAGTGGAGACCCGGTGGAAATGTACATCTCGGCAGGGAGTCCCAGCTAAGGGTCTTTCTTCAAGTGGCAGGCCAGCGACCTCCCCTCCTCCTCGGCCCACCACAGCCCCCAGAACCTCACCTTCGGTGTCCAACGGGCCCCCGTCCAAGGACGAGCAGAGAGGGCTGCCTTTAGCTTTGTCAGCGCTGACGAAGCGGACCAGCTTCTGAGGGCCCCCAGAGGGCTGCTACGGGGTGAGAGGAGATGAATGAGGGGCGCTGAAGCCATAGATAGCAGACCTGGACCCTGCCTGCCAGCACCCCACCCCAGGAAAGCCTCGGGGCCCTGGGCCCTCAGCCTGTGCCACTGAGTGTTCAGGCTGCCCGAGGGGGATTCGGCAGATGGGAGGGAGCCCAAAGCAGACAGAGCCCCCTGCCCAGCAGCTCACTGCAGCGGGCAGCAGAGTGAAGCCCAGGGGAGCACGCCCTGGGACAGAGTGCCTACGGCCTGGGGTGGGGGTGGGGGTCTGCCTCCGAGAGAGAAGATGCCAGACCCCCGAGAAGGTTGGGCAGGCCTGAGAACCGGCTGTGTGCAGACCAGCTGTGCTGCCGGGGACACGACACCGACTCAGGGCACAGGCAGACAGGACTCCCACCAGGAGCCCCGGCCCACCACCCCAGGTGGCAGGACTTCAGGTGGGACCAGTGCTGATGGAAAGGGGCCGGCCCCTCACCTTGCGGGCGGCCACACTCTGCTGTGTCATGTCCCGGATAGTGGCGATGAGCAGCTGCTGGGCCCTGCAGAGGGGAGAGGCAAGCGAATGGCTGGAGTTGGCTAGGGGCTGCGCCATCCGGAAGCCCCCGGGCCGGCTGGGGCCGCGTTCTCCGCCCACCCGGCTCAGTCCTCCCTGGGGGTGTTGGCCCCACACAGGCAGCCTCTCCCAGGCACTGCTCTCAGGAGTCAGGTCCTCACTACTCAGGTGTCCCCGACCCGCCGACCCCATCCCAGGTGACCTGACTTGCACAGGGTCTGAGCCGGCCTGGGGCAGACCCCTTGATCTTGATCCTGCAGGCCTGGCCTTCACCCTGAGAGGCTTGCATAGGGTGCTCAGGATCCATGGTTTGAAACAGGAGCCCAGCTGCTCCCCCCGGGGTGGGTGACCAGAGCCCTGGGATAACAAAACTGTGGAGAGTTCACCAGAGGCGCCTCCCAAGACAGGCTGGGAAACCACTGTGGACGAGACCACGGAAGACCCTCTGGAGTGTGGCCTACTCCAAATAGGCCACGGGGACTGCTCTACACCCACACAGCCAGCCCACGGAGTACTGTTCTATGCCCACACGGCTCACACACCTGGTCCATGGCAATTACACACGCACACGTGTGGCCCATGAATTGGAATCAACCCACTTACAGCTGATGTCTGGGGTTTTTAGTTTGTTTGGTGGTTTACCCACAATGGGGGGGCGGTTCCTGGGATGTTTTAAAGGGAGCCGACCCCAGAGAAAACGGAGTGGCTGGTTACTCTTGGGGCCGTGGTGACTCGTGGCCTATCTGAGAACAGGTCTGCTTGTCACCAGTGGGGTCAAAGACGATGCTCATAACCCACACCCCGCACAGGGCGGAGTGACCCAGCCCCGGCTGACCACAGGGCAGAGGATGGGGCTCCTCTAGAATGTTCTAGAATGCTCCACGGTCAGGCCCGTCTCCCATCACCCGGCAGCACTCAGGACCCACCGGGAGTAGTTGGGGATGGCACCGTGGTCTGTGTCCCTCATGGTGCAGGGGCTGACGTGGTGGGCGTGCCAGCGGCCTGGGCCCCGGTACAGGGTGTCAGTGACATGCAGGACCTCGTTACAGCGCACCTGCAGTGCCCCCTCCTCCCGGCCCTCCATGGCCAGGTTGGCGCGGATGTAGAACGAGTCCCCTGAGGTGGCCACGTTGGCCTCTAGGTCTTGGACCAGCTTCTTGTACCCTGAGGAGAGCGGACAGGAGCTGCAGCCCGTGCCAAGGAGCTCTGTTCTAGAACAAGGGTGTGGGCGGGGAGGGCTACCTGGCCACCTCCACAGCCATGCTACAACCTGGCAGAGCCCCCCACCTCCAGAGCAGGGACGGGCGGGGGCAGGGAGCAGGCAGGGCTGGTGGGCAGTACCCTCCATGTTGACCTTCACAGACAGGCAGCAGAAGCCGTCCACCCGCCCCAGGAGCCCGACGGCCTGCTCCAGGGTGGTGTCCTCCAGCACTGCCTTGACCAGGGACCCCGTTGTGTCACCGTTGACCTGAGAGCAAATGGCCAGGTTGGCCTTGGGGTTGAAGCCTCTGGGGTCCTGGGCTAGACAGGAGGAGGCTGGGTGGGGGGGGTCCTGGGGGCAGGCACAGCAGAGCCAGTCAGACAGACGTGCTCCAGCCCAGCCACAGGCAGGCCAAAGGCCTCACAGTCCTGACCCTTGCCCTCAGCCTGGGTCAGGCTCCCGGAGGCTGGACGGACGTCTCATCGGACCCTCCACCTGCTCACCATCACTATCTGGGTGCCCGGGCGCAGTGCCATCTCGTCGGCCGCCGAGCCGGGGGTGACTCGGTGGATGAAGATGCCAGCATGGTTCCCCCCAATGATGCTGATCTGCCGCAGCAGTGAGCGCCCCTGGAAGGCCAGCGCCGTGACCTGGCTCAGCATCCTGCGGGCCGGCCGCCGCCGCACAGGCATGCTGCCCCCGGAGGGACACGGGCTGCTGTGGGGGACAGGGGCCGTGCTGACGGAGCCGGGGGCAGCCAGGTGAGGGCCAGGCTGGGATCCCCAGCCCACCGCGTGTCTCAGCATCCTGGAATGCTCCATCCGCTTGCCCTGCCCCATCCCATGTGCCAGGGACAAAGGCTGCTCTGTGCCTCCTCCGGCCCAGCTCCCCAGGGATGCCTCCCCTGTCCCCACTCACCTGTGGGAGGCATAGGGGTCAGCGCAGCAGGGCTGGGCAGTGCCCTCTGCCTCAGGAAGCCCTGGGAGGGAGGAGGGATCTTACAGCCGGAGCCCAGGCTGGACCTCAGACTCAGAGCCCCCCATCCTGGCAGTCCTCCCCTCCTGGTCACGAAGAATCTCCACTCATCCTCTCTAAGATAAAGGGGTGGGGCCTGTGGAGGCCTGCACCGGCGGGGGGGGGGGGGGGGCTGGGGCCCAACCCACACGGTACTCTCTTTGACTATTTGGGTTTGTTACCAATGTTTTAACTCAATTCAACTCAACTCACAGCCGTCGAGACCCCGTGGGTCAGGGGAGGACAGCCCCTGCAGGTTTCCGAGCCAGGACTCTGCAGGGCTAGAAAGCCCATCTGGAAAATGTTTTAAAGGATCAGGTGCTTTCACTGGAAGTCAGATTTCCGGGTTCACTTGAAAAACCAAAGCTAGCCTGCCTTTCTGCGCGTTCCCACCCAGGAGCCCTGGGGGCGCCTGGGTTACACGTGGGGCTGCTGGCTGTGAGGTGAGCAGTTCTAAACCACCAGCCGCTCCTCGGGAGGAGGACGGGGCTGTCCAGTCCTGGAAACCCTCAGGAGCTGTTCTCCTTTGTCCGCGAGGGTCGCTGAGAGTGGTGGGGGAGGGGGCATGGTTTGGAGCCCCTGCATAGGCCTGAGTCTCTGCATGGCCAGGGCTTGACCACGGTGGGGCTGCCTCCTCTGTGCCCAGCCCGCTCTGCTGGCCTCCTGGCCTGGCCTCCCAGGGCCACATGCTCCCAGGGTACCCCCCGCTCTAGCATCTGCAACCTATGAGGCAAATGGGGTGCCCTCAGCCCAGCAATCTGAGGACTGTGCTCTGAGGACCATGCCCTGTCCCTCTGGGAGGACAGCAGCCCCCACTGTCACCTGTGGGCAGCCTCGGCAGTGACTCTGTCTAAAGTCCTCTGGGAACGGCCTCCAGGTATGTGCGGGTCAGGTGGGCCCTTATGGGCGTGACAATGTGGGGTGTCCAAAGAGGCATCACCCCTCCCTCCAAGGTCACTGTGCACAGTGGTGTGATGCGAGGCCCCCTGGTGGTTGAGGGGCGAAATACAGGTGGGTGCTAAGCCCCAGCACGTGGGGGGCGGGGCCAGGTGTGCTCAGGTGCCAGAGTAGAAAGAGGCAGTTGGGTGAGGCCCTCGGTGCCACTCCCTGGGGACACCCCACAGGCAGGCACTGACAACTGACACCTGTCACCTCCTGAAATCATGAGTCCCCAAGTGCCCACGGCCGGGGCAGTGCAGGAGAGCCTGAGAGTGTGTGTGTGTGTGTGTGCATGTGTGCATGTGTGTGTGAGATTGGGTGGTGTGAGAGAGGGTATGTGGGTACCTGTGTATGTCTGTGTGTCGACACAAGTGTCTGTGAGGTTGGTGGGGGGCATGTGTAAATGCATGGGTGGGTAGGTGCGTCTGTGTATGTGTGTGTGAAGATGTGTGTGTACCCACGGGGGAGAGAGAGCACAGAGGGGGGTGCCTGCCTGTCTTCACGAGTTGGGATGTGCATGGGGTGTGAGTGTGTGTAGCTCTCTGAACTTGGATGCTGAGTGGGACGCAGGCATGCACGCACCCTCTCGGCCTCCAGGGGATCAGATGGCGGCCCAGAAGCAGGGCACCTGCATTCATTGTCCAAGGTCTGAGCAGTGCAGGGCGGGTGGCCCTCACCTTCCCCCTCCCAATCTTCGTCCCCTGCCCTGCTCCAGGAGGTGCTGGGCGCCGGGTCCAAGTGAGGGTTCACTTACCTGCCTTGTCCACGATCTCATAGTCCAGGTCCACGTCGTCCATCCTGTCCTCTGGGGATGGCCTCAGATCTGCCTCCAGGATTTCAGGAGGGCTACTGGACCACAAAGGGCACCTCAGACCCGGAGCCTGGCTTCTTCCCGCCCGGAATTGCCTGGGATCCCCAGAGCCAGGAGAGTCTAAGGGAGACCCCTGCTGCCACACCTTAGCTGCACCTGCCAGATGGCTGAGCCCAGCTGTCCACCTCATGTAAGACACATACACCCCTCACACCCTGCACCCCACACCCGCACTACCTCAGAGACCAGGGGTCCTCCAGCAGGCCCTCTGCAGCCCGCTTGTACAGGGACTGCTGGCTAGGCGGCACCGGACTGCAAGAGCGGAAGCTGGCCATGGTACTGGACTCTGACCACAGCTGGGGGTGAGGGGGACAAAGCAGACAGCCCTTGTGACCCCACAGAGAACTTCCCCATCACCCGCATACCTGGTGATGCCCAGCCCACAGCCCTAGCCTGAGCCAGCTGGGTGACCCTCACAAGGCCCCTTTAGACACACATGCACAACCCGCTCCCCAGCCCTGCCCTCCGGGTACTGGGTGCTGGGAGCAGGTGCACACTCAGGCATCGCTCAGTTACCTAGGGCACCTGCAAGCTGGGCATTCCAGCCCTGGGGGCACTAATGGGCACCCACTCAACCCCACTGAGAGCTGGGCAGTTCAGTGCCCCCCAGGGGAGCCTCGCAGCCCTGGTGGCAGGCACTGAGGAAGACTGGCAGCCTCTGAGCCCTGGGGAGCAGTGTGCGCCATCCGCATGGACACGATGACAGGGGAATTGGCTTGGTTCCCACAGTACCCAGAAAGAAAGGCCCGGCGACTTGCTGCAAGGCCCCAACCTGGACAGCCCTGGGACCCCACTCTGCTGGGACTCACGTGGGTGGCCTGACTCGGGCTTGACAGCACCCACCGGCCTTGGTGGTCCTTGTTTAAGTTCTATGTTGCTATTGTTCCACTTTACAGGGCTCTGGGCAGCTGAGGGGTCCCCAGCTAGCCAGGAGAGGGACCTGGTGCTGCTTCCCACCCAGTACCTGTGGAGAGGAGAGCCCCACTCCAAACCTGGACAGGCCCGGGGTGCCAGCCAGAAGGGCAGACACAGTGCTGCAAGGCCCCAGGTGTGTGGCAGCTGGTACCTAACGAGGCTCCCTGAATTTCACCCCGGCTTCACTGAGCTCGTGTTCCCCTTGGTGCCTGTGATGCTGGTGTTGGGTATACACCCGAGGACAGGAGATAGAGTGCCTTGGAAGGGGGAACGGGGAGGTGGGGGACAGGCAGGTACAGAAAAGTAAGGGGAGGACGTCCCTGCAAATCAGGGCTTGGGGGGGTGGGGCATCTGTCTGGAGGAAGAGGCATTGACGCTGAAAGCAGGCAGTGGAGGAAGGGGGAGGAGAGCCCCCACCCCAGGGTAGCCAGATTCTGAAGTGAGGAGCGGGGAGAGGAGCCCTTTGGGAGAGAGGAGGGGTCTTTGGGGAGCAACCTCAGCCCATAAAGGGGTCACAGAAGCCGGGGACCTGGAGGCACTGGGGAGCCCTGGCCAGCTCTGGACAGGAGGAACCCAGTTACTTCAGCCTGGGGTCAAGGGTGGGGATTTCAGCTTTGTGGGGGTCAGTGAGGGGCCAGGGTGGGCATTGCTGCCCCAGGAAAGCATCCAGGAAGGGGGCCCGGCATTGGTCCCCCTCTTCCCGCCCTGCCCCAGACAGTCACTGGCAGCTTACCCTGAGGGTATGGGCGCCCAGTCCCCGGCTCCCCTTGGCCAACTAGGGAACACAGAAACATGGGGACGCCGTCCCTGGACACACAGCGAGTCCCCAAGAGCTATCAGCCTGCTCAGAGGGGGCACGCAGAGACTGAGCAGAGGGACCCCCGTCCGGGGAGACCAGGGAGCTCAGGGAGGGGGTACCTCGGTGGAGCTGAGGGGGCTGCCATCACTGTC